TTAACCACACTTGCTGTCTTGCTTCCTCTTCCCTTTAATACACAAGCCTTTGGACTTCAGAAGAGACTCCTTCTTTCCTCCCACGTTCTGCCCTTGGTTACCTAACATGGACCACAACTTGGGCAGACCAAAGGCAAGGCATTGATATCTGCAACTTCAGCCACCCTATCTAGAGCTATAGGGTAGGTACTCTTTGAAACAAGTTAACTATCCTCATTCAATGGTGCTCCAGCTTTTCCAGCACCTTGCTAGACCTCCTAGAACCCATAACACACCTTAAAGGCCCGAGAGATTAGGTAGGGAACCAATACATGTGAAATGCACCTTGAAAAACGCATGGAAAAACGACACACACGTTCCTAGCGACCGGTAGCATTGCAACCTGTCTGAAAGCGACCGGTCGCTTGCACCTTGCGACCGGTCGCTGGTCACGATTTCCAGCTTCTCCTCCAGACTTCGAATCTGCTCAAAACGACCGGTCGCAAATACCCAGCGACCGGTCGCTTCCTCCTTCACTTGCATACTTAATGTGAGCCATTTTTCCAACAAGATATATGTCTTAGAAACCAATTTAAAATGGAATATTCTAATGACATAATATAATTAATATAATCAAAGAGGCGTGAATGTTACTCTCAGATACATAACATACACAAAGTAACAAGTCCATGGATAAAGATATGAATGGAAAGCAATCTAAAGAAGTTAGATTCACGAGACCTTTCCATCATAGTAATATTGAATCCTAAACTGTTCCTGGTGATATGATCACCAATTAGACAATAATGGTAATCCACAAAGACTAGTACACACTATTTCTGCTCAATTGAGAGGATGACTAGTCTCAAATTATTCGTGTAGAGACATTGAGACATGTGTGTAGGTGCTCTATAAAGATGGAGTTCACTGAACATGATCAACTCAAGAATTCTTGTATGGAAGACTTACTCAGAAGTATCAAACAAAGAATTTTAAGTTATGACAATGCAAATTAGTCCTTAGACGTGAGACATCACGGTTGTCTTGTGTATGAGTTATTTGTCTTTGAGAGCACAATATAGTCGTATCAAAAGGATGTGACTTTAAAGTGTTCCTCAAGATACTCAACCTATGCACAAAGGCATGTGAATATACAATAAGGAATCTCTACTCTTAGTAAGAAGAGATAATACTCTAAAGATATGAATCGTTTAATCT